GTACTCCATCACCCTCCCGCCTTACGCCCTTTAGCTGGTGGACAGACTTTGGAAACTGAGAAAGGCAGTTACTCACTGCAGGATTCCTAGCCTCTGCTCTGCTATTGTAGGTATATATAAGCATCTTGAGCACCTGTAAAGAAAGACTTCTGGGTCATTGTGTTGGTTTGGGAAATGGCAGACATTGGTAATGTTGTAATCTGTAAAAACATCTGGTATTAATTAAAAGATTGGTGTGTGGTTTTCTACTTCAGCATTTGACTATCAGAATAAATTGTGGGACTGCGATAATATGTCACATATGAGTAAGTGTATGGTCTTAACAGACATTCAGTTATCAGAAAAAGACACCTCTTTGGACTGAACATCTGATGCTTTAAAGAAGTCCTGAGGAAGTTGTCATGTCTAGCAGCCTCAGTGACACAAGTGGTGTCATAAAGGATAGACGACTCCATTTTAAAGGGAAGGCAACAGCCTTGTGACACTATTGCTAGACTATTAATCCAGAAACTCAGCTAATGTTTGAATCCTACCATGGCAGATGATGCAATTTGGATTCCATTAAGAAAGATCTGGGATTAAGAATCTACTGATGACCATGAAACCATTGCTGATTGTTGAAAAACTCATCTGGCTCACTAATGTCCTTCAGGGAAGGTATCTGGCATCCTCACCTGGTCTGACCTACATATGTCTCTCAACCCACAACAATATGGTTGACTCTCAAGTGCCCTCTAAAATGGCTCAGTAAGCCACTCAGTTCAAGGGCAGCTACTGACGCTCACATCCCACAAATGAATAAAAATATTGTGGTCTTTCAAGATTGTTGTGACAAAGCCAATTTGTGACCAATTTATCAGAAAAGTTGCAGACAGAAGAAATGAAGATGAGGGTGATTTTTGCAGATCTGGATATCACAGCAGACCAAAGATAGGAAAGAAATACAATTTTTGATTTTAAACAAAATAACTGCATCGCAAAATTTTCCTTTGAACAAATTTCAATGAAATAACTAAACAAAATAAGCATTATTAACCTAACAACATGGCTTATAATTCCATATGTTTTACATTCAGGTTTACTTCTTCCCTCAAGAATTCTCTTACAATAGACATCAACCTTAAAGTTAATTATTTCAATACAGACCACCCAAAAGCTGAATTCTCTTCAGTTTAAGGTATTCTTAGAAGTAAAACTTTCATTTACCCTCTTAGCTGGTATCATGATTCAGGGCATCTCTCTTGGGCTGGAGATGAACTTGGAATGGGAAGAGAAAGAATCTGTTTTCATTGTCCTCGTAGGTACCAATGACATGGCTAGACCAGGAAAGAGGTTCAGCTTAGGGGTTACAAAAAGCTTGGGGCTAAATTAAAAAAGTAAAACCACAAATGTAATAATTTCAAGATTACTACCTGAGTCACTTGTAAATTGGCATAGGGTGAATAAATTAGAGAGGTAAATGCGTGGATCAAACATTGATTCATGGGGCACTGGCATCAGTATTAGTGAAAGAGAGAGCTGTTCCATTGGAATGGGCTTCATTTGAACCATGCTGCAAAAAGGTCGTGGTGAATCTTATAACTAGAGTTGCAGATAGGGTTTTAAAATAATTAGTGGAGGAAGAGTTCAATTGAAGGGAAGTTTTAAAAAACGTTGGAAAGAATCAAGAGATCAAAGATGCAAAGTAGTGAAGGGGTGAACAATAATCCAAGTATGGCAGGTAGGAGCAGAAAATATAAGCAGAAGAAATTAGATCTAGAATAAGTAATAATGGTAAAAAGTCAAAGATTCATCATTTGAATGCATGCAGAACTAGTACAAGGTAGAGATGAGTTGATGGCACAAATAGAAATAAATGAAAATGACTTGATCGCTATTATTGAGTTGTGGTTGCAGGGAGATTAAGACTGGGAACTCAATATTTAAGGGTACTTGACATTCCTATAGAAATAAGCAAAAATGAAAAGGAGATGCAGTAGTGTCGTTAATAAGAAAGTTGGTGAGTAATGGTGTTAGTAGAATAGATCATGATGAGTTAGAATGGAAATAAGGCAAGCAAGGGAAATAATAAAGGAAATAAATGGATAGGAGTACTCTATAAGCCCCCAAAGAGTTGCCTCATGGTAGGACAAAATTTAAATTGGAAAATAATGGAGGCACGTAGAAGACACTACAATTGTCACGGTGATTACTGGACAAATACGTAGGCAAGGGAACATGGAAGACAAATTTGTAGAGTGAATCAGGGATTGTTTCTAAGAGCTCTACATTACATACCCGCCCAGGAACTAGAAATGTATAATGAGATAGGATTAATAATAAATCTTGTAGTTAAGGATCCTCTTGGGGGTAGTGATGAAATCATGGCAGAATTTCAAATTCAATTTGAGGGAGAGCAATTCAGGTCTCAAACCAGTGTCTTCAACTTAAATAAGGGCAATTACAGAGGTATGAAGAAAGTTGTTTAAAGCAGCTGGGAAAACAGACTAAAGGGAAGGTCAGTAGATGAGCAGTGGCAAACATTTAAGCAGATACTTCATAACGTTCAGCAAAACTTTATTTAGATCAAAAAGAAGAACTTGATTAGAAGGATGAACCACTCGTGATTAATAAAGGTGGTACCTTAAGCTGAAGAGAATTCTCAAAAGGTCTATGACATACTTTTGGGTGGTCTGTATTGAAATGATTAACCACCCAAAAACGACAGGATACAAAGTGGCAAAAACAAGTGATAGGCCACAGAATAGGAATGTTTTAGAAACTAGCAGCAGATGACTAAAAAGCTAATTAAAAAGGGAGAAATTTGATTATGACAGTAAATTGTCAAGAAATACAAGAACAAACAGCAACAGCTTCCAAGGGTACATAAAAAGAAACAGATTAGGGCATATGAGTGTGGACCCTTGGAGGATGAGCCTAGGGAATTGATAATGGGGCCGTGAAAATGGCATGTTATTCAAACCAATATTTTGCATTGGACTTTACGGTGGAGGACACAGTAAACATTCCTAAGACATCAGGTAAACAAGGTGCTAATGGGAGGAAAGGTCCTGTAACAGTCTTTGTAATGAGGGACAAAATGTTTGACAAACTAATTGTACTGAAAGCAGACAATTTGCCAGGATTCAATGGCCTGCATCTAAAGGTGTTAAAGAAAATAGATATTGTGGAGGCATTGGTCAAAGTATTCCAGAACTCACTAGCTTCTGGTGGGTTCCAGCAGGTTGGAAACCTGCTAATGTTAGGCCCCTGTTCAAGATGGGAGGAAGATAGAAAGCAGGATAGTATCAGTCAGTTAGTCTAACATCCATTATTAAGGAAGCAATACAAAAATATTTAGAATGCAATCAAGCGGAGTCAACATGTTTTGTGAAGGGGGAATCATATTTAACAAATTTGCTTCAGTTCTTTGATGATAGTAACAAGCAGAGTTGATAAAGTGGGAACTGGTAAATGCATATATTTGGATTTCCTGAATGTGTTCGATGAGGTGCTACATAAAAAGGTTAATGCACAAGATGAGAGTAATGCATTAGCATCAATTGAGGATTGGTTAACACACAGAAGACAGCGAGTCAGGGTTAATATGTCTTTTTTCAGGTTGGAAAGATGTCACTAATGGAATGCCACAGGGATTAGTCCTATGGCCTCAATTTATTAAAGGGGAGATGATGGTATAGTGGTATTGTTGCTGGACTAGTAATCCAGAGATAAAACAAAGATCTGTAGATGTTGAAAATCTGAAACAAAAACAGAAAATGCCAGAGAAACTCAGCAGGTTTGGCAGCATCTGTGAAGCGAAAGCAAACTTAAATTTTCATGTCCAGTGACCTGTCTTCAGGCACTGGACTCAAAATGTTAACTCTGCTTTCTTTCCATAGATGCTGCCAGACCTGCTGAGTTTCTCCAGCAATTTATGTTTTTCTGTTCATAATCCAGAAACACAGGCTAATACTCTGGGGATCTGGGTTCAAATCTCACAATGGTTGGTGGCAAAATTCTGCAATGCTATCTGCATTCATAATTTGGAAAGAGGGGTAGGGGGCAATGTATCTAAATTTTGCTGATACAAAACTAGGTGAGGGGGATGTTTTGATGAGGATATAAGGAATTTGCAAGATGATATAGACAGCTTGAGTGAGTGGGCAAGAACTGGGCGGATGGAGTTTAATGTAGCAACTGTGAGGTCATCTACTTTGGTGGAAAAAACCAAAAGGCACACTATTATTTGATTGAAAACTCCAAAGAAGTGCAGCACAGAAGGATTTGGGTGTTCTTGTGCTTGAAATACAAAAACCTAGCATGAAAATGCAGTGGGTAATTAGATGGTAAATGGAAATTTAGCCTTCATTGCTACAGAGGGTTGCAATTTAAAAATAGGGAAGTCTTGTTACAATTGTACAGGGTGTTGCCGAGGCCATGCCCGGAATACTGTATACTGTTTGGTCACTGCATTTAAGGAGGGATAAATTGGCTTTGGAGACAGTTCAAAAGAGATTTACTAGGCTGATTCTTGACATGAAGGGTTGAGTTATCGAGAATGGCTAAACAGGATAGGCTTTATTAACTGGAGTTTACAAGAATGAGAGGTCATCTTATTGAATCAAGATTCTGAGGGACATTGACTGGGTAGATGTCAACAAGATGTTTCCGTTGGTGGGGGAATCTCGAAATAGGGGACATAGTTACAGGGTAAAGGGACACTAATTTAAAACAGAGATGAGAAGGAATATATTCTCTCAGACAGTACTGAATATCTGGAACTCTCCACCCAAAGAGCTGTGGATGCTAGTGAAATAACTCCACAGAGCCCACTATCCCATCACCAATTCGCCCTTTTTTAATGCGTGGTCAGTCCTTGGTACTGACCAGATTTGTCAGAGCCAGCTCTCAGAATGAGCAGAACCTCTGACACTCTTGTTTTTATCTGTCAGCCAGGGCTCCCTGATTGGACCAGGTTAACAGCCCCAATCAAGGAACTTATAGTCTATGAGGTCCACCTGGCTAACCTTGTTACAATCACTACATCCTTCCTCTTCTGAGTTCGAGGATATAGGCTGGTTCTTTTTTGCAGCTCCTCCTGGGGTGTTTTAGTACTGCGTCAGTTCCAGCAATTCTGCCTCTGATATGGTCAGTGTGTAATGCACAGTAGCTTGCCTCTTGCGCACTGAGCATCTCAGAAGAAATTCATCTCCTCTTCAGGCGGCAAAGATGTTGAGGTGACGACATCCGCCACGTCCATCTCAGATTCCGAGGTATCTTCGACGCTAGACAGAGATGGAGAACGCATGAGTTCTGGAAAAGTCAGAAAGGCAGTCGAAGAG